GGGATTTTATAAATATTTGAAGCCTTGAACAAACCTTTTATTGTTAGCATTATGTAATTATTTATTTATTTATTTACATATTCATTTTATTTATTCATTTATTTTTTTTTTTACATAGTTTTTTTTTATTGTATTGTGTGTGTGTTTTTATTTTTGCTTTAAAAGGATTGTGAATTATTTTTCAAGTATATTCAAAGTTGGTTTTTCAAAAATATGTTAATATCCGAGTAATTAGCGTAATGAAATGTTAGAAAGATTAAGATAACGGAGAGATAAAAAGGCCATTTTACCCTTTCAGTAGATTTTGTGAATAATAGCAAATGTACCAAAATATTTAAACCAGTCGGAAAGAAAGTAATATATTTTTCTTTTTATAGTTTATTTAGTTATTAAACCATGAACAATGGAGGTAACTCTAGTAATGGATAAGAATGGAATGATATCTTTAAGAATTTTCTTTGTAAAAAAATCTGCCGTTTCGTTCTTAAAGATTGTACGGAAATAACTGCTTTGAGATTTAGAGTTTTTTTTTTGTTTTTGATTTTTTTTTTATATAGTGTACAACCATTTTATAACAATATTCCCCTGTTATTGATCAGTTTATATGTATCCCCTTATGTCCATTTGATTCTGTCTGTCGTTCTTTATCTCTTTGATCATTCTTTGATTTCTCAGACTGTTGTAAGGGTTAGGAAGGCGCCTCCTTTAAAGCGCTTTCATTAGGCAGGTGGAGACTGTTAATCCAAGTGGATGTCCTTCCTAATGTCAAATCATGGTCAGGACTCTAATTCATGTGCTTAGCGATCTTCCTGATCCGAGTCGCCACATGACCACAGCATGACAACAGCTCCATCTCTAATTTTCTGTTTATCTATCTCTATCACTTTTATCTTTTTATCCACCTATATCCCAAACAGAAAACTTTAGTCAGTGCAGCTAGGATCTCGACGAATCGCTCGAAATGTCAGCTGTAGACACAGGCACATTATTTTCCTAATTGAAATTATGAAAGAATTTAAATAAGTATGTTGTAAGCCTAATATTACAATTCCTAATGTAAGAAAAGTTAAGTTTAAATTAAAGACAGCTGACGCGTATATTATTCATATTATACTTTATAACATTCCAGAAAATAACAAAAAAAGGAAGTACACAGGATTTTTTGCCGGTAGAAAACCCCAGCTGCTCATTTCCTATGCATTCCAAATTGGCCAAAACCATCCCTCTTATCCCACTATTGACACTGCATTTGTTTACCTCCAGACGGGGAAGAGGACACACACCATGGAGCAGCCGATACTGTCACAGAGTTCCCCCGCTGCCTGTGGAGGAAAGGCTAGGCCAAAGACACAGTATGTCGATTTGCTAGAAGAGAGGAGAGCATCAAGTGACCTGAGATGGGCTGCCCGCGAGTGGTCGTCGAGAGGAGACTACCGATACAGACTACCCCTGAACCGCGAAGACATCTTCAATCGAGTGATGGGGTCAGAGAGAGTGAAGCACACCATCAGCCAGGTTAGGAAATGTGACTCTGAGCCTTAGTGCTAAGAAGTGTGTAAACAGAAAAACTAATTTCAGGAATAAGGAAGGGACAGATTACAACAGTATTTTTACAGATTTGGAATGCAACTCTCATATCCGAGTCTCCGTAAATGACAGATTGTTAAACCCAGTTTTTTTAGTGGTCATAGAATTATGAATATAATCAGTACAATCTCTTTCCTCTCAACAGTTGGCCAAAAATGAGCAGGACCAAGAAGCTTTGGAAGAAGAAGTAAAGGGTATCCTGGAACAGATGGGGCATACGCAGGACATAGGCACTATACGACAGTTTGCCTTTATCCTTCCCAAGATCATGAAGAGAATTTATGGAAAAGTTCTAATTAATGACGATGGTATTGAGAAAGTAAGTGGGATATATATATGTGTGTGTGTAAACCAGTAATTATGTACAAGTATAATTGATTGTAAAAGGCTTCAGTTTTCATATTTTCAATATTATGTATACATTCTTTCAAATTTTGATGTAGGGATAAGCTTATGTAGGTATGCTATAAATTTACTTTACTTTAGTTCTCTCAGATAAGAATCATAAGAAATGATTGTTAATTATCCCATGAGCTATGAATGACAGAAAATATAGTTCTCAGAAAACAACTTTTTGTGTTTTAAAACGATGATATATAGAACCAAAATTCCAAGAGCATATGCTGTATGCCACATTTCAGTTACTGCTTGATGCTGTATTTTTATATTCTGCTTTTACAATATCCATGATAAATTCTTATCATTTGTAATTATCTCTTTGCTTATAAATGTATTCTTAATGGTAATCCGTAAATATCATGTTTTTTTTCGGAAGCTTTATATTGGGCATAGTTTGAATAGGCCACTGATCATCTATTTCCCACATCAGCTTCGCAGCAAGTTGGTTGAAACACCTGTTATCCTGCTCCCAACACATCGCTCCTATGCAGACTTCCTGTTAGTGTCCTACATC